CCCGAGGTAGGTATCACAATCCTCTGGCGTCGGTCTTCTGTGAGACGCCAGTATTTAAGCCGGGCACAGCTGATGAGCCACAGCTGCCAGCGATCTCCCCTGATCGGCTCCGCCCAGCCTGCAGTGAACAGAGACACACCCAAGAAAACACAGAGACAGACAAAAACCCAAAAACCCAGTGAACAAAGTCTAGGACCCTCACAGGGTCAACAACAACCTGACCCCTTAAAGATCGAAGCTGTCGCGAACTGGCCCACTCTGGGAACATGCAAAGAGCTACAGCGGTATTTTAGGTTTGGCCAATTTTTACTGCCGTTTCATACGGAATTATAGCAAGGTGGCTGTTCCACTCACGAGGCTCACTTACACTAATATTCTGTTCTGTTGGAGCCTGAAGGCTGACCACACTTTTAACACATTAAAGTCACTGTTCACGAGTGCCCCTGTGCTTAGACACCCAGATCCGTCTCTCCAGTTCGTGGTGGAGGTGGACGCCTCTGATACAGGAGCAGGGGCGGTCCTCTCCCAGCGGGATCCTACATCCCTGCGCATTCTTCTCCCGCCGCCTCAGTCCTGCAGAGAAGAACTACAACATGGGAAATCGCGAGATGTTGGCGGTGGTTCTGGCACTCCAGGAGTGGAGGCAGTGGCTGGAGGGTTCCACCCAGCCATTCCTGAGTTGGACAGATCACAAAAATCTCGCCTATGTCCGCTCAGCCCGCTGCCTGAACCCCCGTCAAGGGCTCTAAGAGGAAAAAAAGTGACATTTAAGGTAAGTCAAAAGTCATGAAAATCAGTCACTTTTCATAAATCAACCATTCTGTCACCAAATGTGTAATCTCTGGACGTAGTGATAACAACACAGCTAAAGATGCTAGGTTGCTAACAACGCTAACGGTTAGTGGCTGACTCGGGTTTGGCTTCTCAATGGGGTTAAGTTTTGCTTTTATCAGTCTGGGCTGAGCAAGATAGTGTTTGTCTGGGATTCTCGTAAAAAAGCAAAGAATTCAACATTAATGTAATTTATCATAATGAAAGGAGAAGTCAGATACTGTAGTCACAAGAGTAAAATCAGAATGTACAGGCATTAATGAACATTATTAGTATGGGCTTAACTTTAAACAGTCTCTCAAAACCTTGTGCCTGCTTTGGGAGCAAATCTAAATTTATAATAATCTTTTTTTGGCCAATGCTGTTTTCTTACAGATGTTGATGAAACGGAACTAGCAGTGCCAGAAGAGCTAAAACCCCTCCTTCAAGCTGTGAACACACTGGTCATCTCCACAGCTGAGTGTGAGCGTGGGTTCAGTCAGATGAACATTTTAACCACAACTAGAAGCTCCCTAGAAGTAAAAAGCATGTCAGCCTTGCTTTTCATCAAGTGTGTTGGCCCTCCATTGAAAGTGTTCAAACCAGATGTCTATGTCAAGTCTTGTCAAAGCCATTGTCTAGCTAATGATCCAAAAGCAAGAGCTCGGAAAATTTACGACAAAAAACATGATTATGAAAATCTTTGGAAACTTCTGTGAATTAGGGGAGAATTGGGTAAGCAGCTATTGAAAAAAACTGATCAGTTCTCCATTTTACTTTTCCTATTTTGTCTTTTGAGGCTAGCCAGCTCAAGTTTAAAAAATCTCAGGTGTTGGTGTTATGTATTTGTGTAAATTTTTGATATTAATTTTCAAATTTTTTAAATTGTTTCAACTAGTTCATTACATTTTTTGCATTTGAATTAAAATGAATTTGACCTGACTTGGGAGGATTCAGAGTATCATTTGCAGTTTTCGGGAGGTTTGTTTCACACTTCAGTAGATGAATTACCAAATGATCTCAAAGTACCATGAGTATGAAATTGCACTTGAACCCAGTAAGAAAAGTGGTCCTCTGCATTTACTTCTTACTGCGTAGGAGCAGTGATAGCCATGCCAGCCTGGGGACTGACTCCAATTCTGAGATATCTTGGTCAAGATCAATTACAGGAGAATCTGACATATAAGATCCATGTCATAGATGTTGTTTTAGGATAATAATTATCTTTGAGCTTTAACAAAAATAAAAAGGGTACATAGTTTGTTTCACATCATATGCACTGTCATCAGGGCAAAATATCCATCCCAAAACATAAAATCCACCATCCCCCCTGAAATTTTTTTACAACTTGACTACTGTTCAGACCCATCGATGAAGCTGCATGACAACACAGGGACGAACTTCAGGAAACTCTGGAGCCCTTAAAGAACAAGTTGAAGGTTTCTGAACAAGTGAAATTCACTCAAACAGCACAACACATTAAGGTCCAGGCCCGACACACAGAGAGGCAGATTCAGGAGCAGGTCAAGAAGTTTCACCAGTTTCTGATAAGGGAAGAGGAGGTCAGGATGGCTGCACTGAGGGAGGAGGAGAAGGCGAAGACTGGGATGATGGAGGAGAAGATGGAGGCTCTGAGCAGAGACATAGCAGATCTTTCACACACAGTCAGAGCCACAGAGGACAAGCTGAGAGCTGAAGACATCTCATTCCTGCAAAACTACAAGGCTGCAGTGAAAAGAGTCCAGCGCTGCCTCCTGCTGGAGGATCCACCGCCGCACTCAGGAGCTCTGATAGACCAGGCCAAGCATCTGGGCAACCTGAGCTTCAACATCTGGAACAACATGAAGGACATGGTCTCCTACACACTTCTGAATCTGGACCCAAACACTGCTGATTCAAAATTCATCCTGTTGGAAGATCTGACTATCGTGAGTTTAGGAGATGAACAGCAGCTTCCTGATAATCCAGAGAGGTTTGAAAAATACATCTGTTCTGTCCTGAGCTCTGAGGGCTTTAACTCTGGGACTCACAGCTGGGATGTCGAGGTTGGAGACAGCAACTATTGGTCACTGGGTGTTTTAGCCGAATCTATCCAGAGAAAAGGAAACATAGGACCTGGATTATGGAGAATATTGTTCTATAATGATAAATACACAGCAGTCTCCCCATCACATCCCACCACTGTTCTCTCAGTGAAGAAGGACTTTCAGAGGATCAGAGTGAATCTGGACTGGAACAAAGAAAAGCTGTTATTCTCAGACCTTGATACTAAAACACACATACACACCTTCACACACGCTTTCACTGAGAGGATGTTTCCATATTTTCACACTGTCAATAAATTAAAGATTTTACCAGTGAACCAATGTACTAATGCAAACTCTCCAAAACCCACAGACAAGGAGAAGATTTCACAACAAGACTTTGTGAACTCTGATTTAAAAAAAAAAAAAAAAAAAAAGTTGAAAACACACACGACATAAAGAAAAGTCTTTGTATACAAACATCTTTCTGAATCAGTGTATCGTTTGACATTGCCATGTTGTGATCAGAATAATCATCAATTCAACATCAGATTCTTAAGACAAAGATCAATATTACTGTAGAAACATTTGATGACTTTGATCATCTGATCAGTTCTGAATATGTTCTATTAATTTATTTGTAGTAAATTAGTTTGAATACTTAGTTAACTACAAAAATTACTAAAGGACATTTTGAACTGGGACTTCTGTTGGACTCCATTTCTTTATTTAAAATTAGTTTGCATGTGAAATGTCGGCTTATATTGTGTTTTGAGACGAGTTTCATTTGCCTTTCTCTTTTCTTTGAAATTTAGTCATGATGAAGAATGCGTCTTGCGTCTTTTGATGCATTTGTTGTAATTGTAGTTTACCTTCTTGTTAATATTCCAACATGGGGAATGTCATACATGAGTTTTAGATATTTCTGTTGCTGCTCATAATGTTGAATCTAATACAATCTTTACTGTCTCCCTCTTAAAGAAGCTTTCTCCAGATAACAAGGTGGAGATGTCGGAAGTTGGAGGAAGCTGTGGTTTGGGAGGAGTTTCCATGTCAGTGATTGGTTGGAGTTTTAGCTTATTTGCTTTTGGTCTTTGGGTTAATTTATTCAAAAGTTCTGTAAAATAAATTTGTTTTTAGCAACAACTCATGTGTGGTCTCTCCTCCTTTGTTCAGCCTCGAGCCGCCTGGTGACAATCTTATGGTTGTTTCTGTGTTTCAATGAGTTTTTAACAAGTTCAACACTCTGAGTATCATAGTTGAGCTGACAGCAGCTCAGCTGGACTGATGCTGCTAAAAACTCCTGATTCCATCAGTGATAGTAGTGTTTCAGTTGACTTTGAAGAGTCTGTGTTAAAGACTTGTTCATCTAACAGACGAATAATACCAGCTCTATCGACAAGGAGAGTTTTGCAATGAGTTTCGGAGAAGTTTACTGAAAATCACTGTGCTGTTTGCAGATATTGATCCATTTCCTTTATGTCCTGCCTACTATCACTCTGTTTCTCATAAACTGGGTTGATCATTAAACACATAATTCAACAGTTGGCAACACACACGCATGCATGCACGCACGCACGCACGCACGCACACAAACACACACACACACACACACACACACACACACACACACACACACATTTATTACAGTGTTTTACCAGTAGTTGTGGAGATCATCTGACTGAGACACAAATTGAACAAAGACACTGAGTGCAAAGGAGGCTTGTGTAACAAAAAGCATCATAATCACTTCTCTTAGACTCACTGTGGTTTGATATATNCCACCTTGCAGCCCTACTCTGGACTAATAGATTCAAATTCATTCACTCTGCTAACCTTTGATTCAGTAACTTAACTACAGGTGCTGTTGGCTCACTGCCTGCTGTGTTGAACTCTGATCTGTGACCATATTCAACTGTACAAATCAGGATGTGATGATATGGGTTTATTTATGGTGTTTTGGCACTCAGGTTGGGCGGGGCTGATCCAGAGGAAGACGCTCCCGCAGCTGTGTCTCATCTCCATAATCAACGTGCTGGATAAAGTCACCTTCAACCTGTGCTCCAGCGCCAGTCGATTGCCTACCCCATGCGTAGTACTTTCAGGCCGCTTAGAATTACTACTAAGTCTTTTTCGAGTTGTGATCACGAGTTTTCGAGTAACCTGCGTTTCTCCTGTTTGTCCCCCAGCCTCTCCCCGCTCAAGTCTCCATCCAGCCGTTTCAAGCTCTGCACACCAGCCTGCACACCATCGACATGGATCTCACCTCCTTCCCTACGAGCACCAACACGAGAAACCACCGTCACCTGTGGCTCTCCCCTCACAGCCTGGACCCCGGATCCCTCACCTGCCTCCTGGTGCCCCTCTCACTCCCCGGATCCCCGAAAAAAACTGTTTTCCTTTGTTCCCGCCTCCCTCTCGTTCTGGGTTCCACACACACGTTTTTCCTGCGACTATCCAGCCATGACAGAATCGACTGACCAAGAAAATGGACCCAACGAACCCCAGCACCGTCAAAGAAGCGCTCAACGCCCAAGGGATCCTGCTTGGCAAACACGACCGCCTGTTACACAGAGTAATGGACTCACTCGAGAGTCTTTCTCTGAATGTCCAGGGAATCGCTGCTCAGCTGGACCAACTGGCGGTTACCTGCACTGGAGCTTCACCTGAGCCCCCCCGTGAGTACTCCTCCTGTTCCTGCTCCCTCTTCTCCTCTGCTCCATGAGCCCAGGGTTCCCCTTCCTAAGCCTTACACCAGAGAACCTGGCTCATATAGTCGTTTTTGATTAAATTTTCAACTTGTTTTTGAGTTGCAGCCTGTAAACTACCCATCCGACAAGGCTAAAATTGCATTTTGTATTAACCTGTTACGAGGACAGGCAGCCCAGTGGGCCACCGCCCTGTGGCACAATAAATCAGCCCTGTTAAGCTCCTTTTATGCGTTTACGGCGGAGCTGTGTCGTGTGTTTGATCACTCCGTTAGGGGGCAAGAAGCCTTTTCATCGGCTGTTTGATTTGAAGCAGGGCTCGCAGTCAGTTTCCAATTATTCTATTTCATTCCGCATTTTAGCAGCTGAGTGTGGGTGGGATGAACCTGCTTTAATGACTATCTTTGCACGTAATTTGTCGGAGGAGTTAAAAGATGACTTAGCGTTGCGTGACGCGCCCACCTCTCTCGAGGCACTCATCTCATTAGCCATAAAGGTTGACAGTCGTTTACGAGAACAGAAGAGAGAGAGAGCAGCCAGGGTTAGGAGATTCACGCCCTGTCCAGTTTCCTTCTCCAAGCCTTCAGCCTCTCCAGCCCGAAGTCCTGATCGGGCGTCCCCTCCCTCGGCTCCTGTGGATGCATGCAGTTCGGTCAGGCTTGCCTATCGATCCCAGAGTGACAGAGGCAGATGCGAGAGCAGTAATGCCTTTATTGCAGACAGGCAGGACCCTTCCCTTCCAGCTGTCCTGTTCTGTTAAAAGGCGGACTCACCATTGAAGGAGAGCACTGTGGCGAGTCGAACCTCTGTTTCCCCTTGCTCTCCCTCCCGGCTCACAATGGCCACCAGCCTGCATCTCAACTCTCGAGTTTTTCCTGTGCAAGGTTTGATTGATTCTGGGGCTGATGATAATTTCATTGACCAAGATTTTGTTACCCAAATTAATGCACCTCTCGAGTTTCTGGACTCCCCCAATATTTTGAATGCCCTAGACGGCCGGTTACTGGTCAAAGTAACTCATCGCACCCAGTCTTTGACCACGATTATCTTCGGTAACAACCAAGAGATCGTTCAATTGTTTGTCATCTCCTCTCCTCTGTCACTACTTGTGTTGGGCCTTCCATGGTTACGACAGCACAACTCCCATCTGGACTGGACCACCTCGTCCATCTCCAGCTGGAGCGTGGCCTGTCACACACACTGCTTCAGGGCCGCAGCCCAGGAGAAGAATCATGCTGTACTGCTGGCTGCCCCCCCGGATCTAAGTACTGTCCCCTCTGAGTATCATGACTTGGTGCCGGTTTTTAATAAAGACCTGGCATGCACCTTACCCCCATATCGCCCCTACGACTGTGCCATAAATCTCCTTCCCGGTGTGTCACTGCCCTCCAGCAGACTTTTTAAACTTTCTCGGCCCCAGAGACAGGCGATGGAGGAGTACATTAATGACTCTTTGGCGGCTGGTTTGATCCGTCCCTCTTCGTCTCCTCTGGGGGCAGGGTTTTTTTCGTGAAAAAGAAGGATGGTTCCCCGTGCCCCTGCATCGACTACCGAGGGCTTAACAACATCACGGTAAAGGGCTGTACTCCTCTTCTCCTTATCGACCCATCTTTTGAACCCCTTTGCCGTGCACGTGTGTTTTCCAAGCTTGACCTAAGAAATGCCTATCACCTCATCCGTATTCATGAAGGAGATGAGTGGAAGACGGTGTTTAATACCCAACTTGGCCACTTGGAGTATAATGTCATGCCTTTTGGCCTAACTAATGCCCCAGCTGTTTTTCAGGCTCTTATGAATGACATTTTTCGGGACATGTTAAATAATTTTATTTTTGTGTACCTGGATGACATTCTGATTTTCTCCCGGTGTATGGATGAGCATCGTCAGCATGTGAGGCTAGTTCTACAGTACGTTCTCGAAAACAGACTGTTCGTGAAGCCAGAGAAGTGCGAATTCCCTGTTCCCTCGGTTGGGTTTTTGGGCTATATCATTGCCCAGGGTCTGTAACGACTCGTGCTCAGTGACAGTGCGGGTGGACCCAAACGAAAAGGGAGACGGGGAGAAGGGTTAAAGGAAACAGGATTTATTGAAGGAATTTGGTGGAGTGAAGTCTTTGGGGTCGTGATCTGAGGAAGGGGGGTCCCGAGGGTGGTGCACGAAGAGCCGGTGCCTGAGAGTGTCTTGGTCCGTGGGGGTTTTCCCGGTGCAGAGAGGGAGCCGTGACGAGGGAAACCGGGGTGGTGCGCAGGGTCCGGTGCTCAGGGTTCAGTGCTCGTAGGGGGGGTGCTCTCGTGAAGGGTCTCCCGGTGAAGGTGTCCGTGGTCGTGAATTCCCGTGGGTGACAAACGCTGGAGAGCTAGGAGGTGTGCCGAGTGCTGGAGCCGAGGAGGAGAACTGGAGACAGGCAGAGAAACATACCATTAACCCTGATCGGCTCCGCCCAGCCTGCAGTGAACAGAGACACACCCAACAAAACACAGAGACAGACAAAAACCCTAAAACCCAGTGAACAAAGTCTAGGACCCTCACAGTACCCCCCCCCCCCTCAACGGACGCCTCCTGGCGTCCAACCGGACTCGTGTGGAGTCCCCTGACAGAGAGACCTCAGGAGCGTGGGGTCCAGGACAAGCAGGGCGGCCAGCACTGAGCCGGGAGGGTGGAGGGGGAGAGGCCGGAGGGCTAAAAACACTGGAGGACAGCAGCGGAAACATCTGAAGGCCGGCGAGAGACGAGAC